TAGGTTTTTTCGGGCTATATGGCCATGGTCTAGAGGCATTCTCTCCTGACGTTTCGCCTGCATCTGTGGCAAGCATCCTCAGAGGTAAGTGAGTAGACCACCTCACTACCTCTGAGGATGCTTGCCATAGATGCAGGCGAAATGTCAGGAGAGAATGCCTCTAGACCATGGCCATATAGCCTGAAAAAACCTACAACAACCCAGTGATTCCGGCCATGAAAGCCTTTGACAAGTCAAGAAGTTCTTCCTCATGTTCAGGTGGCATCTCCTTTCCTGTAGTTGGAAGCCATTATTTCATGTCCTAGTCTCCAGGGTGGAGCCCCCCATGGTGCAGTGGGTTAACCTGCTCAGCTGTTGAATTTGCTGATAAAAAGGTCACAGGTTCGAATCCAGGGAGCGGGGTGAGCTCCTGCTGTTAGCCCCAGCTTCTGCCAACCTAGCAGTTTGAAAACATGCCAATGTGTGGCGGGAAGGTAACGGCGCTCCATGCAGTCATGCCGGCCACATGACCTTGGGAGGCGTCTATGGACAACGCCAGCTCTTCGGCTTAGAAATGGAGATGAGCACCAACCCCCAGCGTAGGACATGACTGGACTTAATGTCAGGGGAAAACCTTTACTTTTATCTAGTCTTTAGGGTAGCAGAAATCAAGCTTGCTTCCTCCTCAATATGATTTCCCCTCACCTCTTGATCCATGGCCCTCATCATGTCTCCTCTCAGCCTTCTCTTCTACAGGCTAAACATGCCCAGCTCTTTAAGCCACTCCTCATAGGGCTTGTTCTCCAGACCCTTGATCCTTTTAGTCGCCCTCTTCTCAACATATACCAGCTTGTCAACATCTTGTGCATTATTGTTTTGTGTTTTTTAATGGATAACTGGTTGGTGGACAGTGTATTGATTCAATTTTAAATACAGACTGCTTTCAAACAATTCCAAACATCACAAACATCACACGGATGTCTAGTCAAAAGAAATGTTCAAGAACAGTTCCTATCTTAGGATAAAAGTAGGGGTCCTAGATGTGAACAGGTCAAGAAGCAATGATTTGGGTTTGCCTTTGTTCGCTTTGACATGAGTTTTCTATCTCCCACCCCATCAGTTCATCTGGTGACATTGATAGATGTGGGGTGCATGAGGAGGAGAGTCACATTCTTGGGGCCAGATTAGAGAAAATAAGTGTAAATGGGAAAGATGAGACAGCAGGAACGGATGAGGAAAATAGCTTATTCTGGAGCAAAGAGGCGCTTTGATCCCAGGGTTTCTCCCTCCTCGGGAGCAGCCATTTCTCAGAGGCTTCGGCTCCCCTCCAGCTTTCATCTCCTTCCCAGGCGGATGTGCCCTGTACAGCTAAAAGGATCGCCCATCTCACTCCAGGACTGAGCCTTGGCACTCAGCTGGATCTCTTGCACAAACCTCCGCCGCCCAAAAGGAATATATATTAAAAAATATAAAGCACTGAATAATTTACTGATTCCCAGTGTTAAAAGGAAGATTGATGATGTTTCTCTTCTCCCTGAGGGGAGCTAATCTTGTCTCAGGCAGGAAAGCGGTTATGTTAAAGGCTTTTTTCTCCCAGGGATGCCAGAACTTGGCACCGTCATATAGTGCAAAGCGAGGAGCCCGGTTCCTCCTCGGTCCTACCACACAGGATGAAATAATGCTCGGAGTGTATAGCCAGCGTTGAGTGAGGTCTCTGTAATTGCAGGACCCATGCGCTGATGCACACTTGGAAAGGAATGATCTCTCTAGGTCCTCCAAGTCATTCTGGAGTTGCATTTGAGGACCTAGCAAATTTCTAGAGAGGTTAGCTCCAATACTACTTTATGTTGAGACCAGAAATAGAATAATAGAATCATAGAGTTCGAAGAGACCTCATGGGCCATCCAGTCCAACCCCCTACCAAGAAGCAGGAATATTGCTTTCAAAGCAACCCTGACAGATGGCCATCCTTAAAAGCCTACAAAGAAGGAGCCTCCACCACACTCCGGGGCATAGAGTTCCACTGCTGAACAGCTATCACAGTCAGGAAGTTCTTCCTAATGTTCAGATGGAATCTCCTTTCTTGTAGTTTGAAGCCATTCTTCCATCGCATCCTAGTCTCCAGGGCAGCAGTAAACAAGCTGTCGTCCCTATGACTTCCTCTCACATACGTATGCATGGCTATCATGTCTCCTCTCAGCCTTCTCTTTTGCAGGCTAAACATGCCCAGCTCTTTAAACCACTCCTCAGAGGGCTTGTTCTCCAGACCCTTGATCATTTTAGTCACCTTCTTCTGGACACATTCCAGCTTATCAACATCTCCCTTCAGGTGTGGTGCCCAGAATTGGACACGGTATTCCAGGTGTGGTCTAACCAAGGCAGAATAGAGGGGTAGCATGACTTCCCTGGATCTAGGCACTAGACTCGTATTGATGCAGGCCAAAATCCCATTGGCTTTTTTTGCCACCACATGTCCATGAGGACTCCAAGATCTTTTTCACACGTACTGCTCTCGAGCCACGCGTCCTGCAGTCTCTTCGCATTTCATTTTTTTCTGCCTAAGAGGAGTATCTTGCATTTGTCACTGTTGAACTTCCTTTTGTTAGTTTTGGCCAATCATCTCTCTAATCTGTTTAGATTGCCTTGAATTCTGCTCCTGTCTTCAGGAGTATTGGCTCTCCCTCCCAATTTGGTGTCGTCTGCAAACTTGACGATCATGCCTTCTAACCCTTCATCTAAGTCGTTAAGAAAGATGTTGAAATGAGGCAATTCAGTGGTGTTTGGTTGTATCTGTGTGCACAGTTTCACATAACCAGGGTCCAACTGGGATTGTATTTCTCTGGGGATATGGGGATCTAAATGTATTTCAGCAAAGCGCTAGTTGAAAGCTGGGGGGGGGGGGGGGGGTTAATTTGTAGCAATCGAAGGGCATTGCTCAGTGGTGGGACAGATATTTTCCATCTTCTAAGCCAGCATTTCTCAACCTGGGGGTCAGGAGCCTGGAGGAGTCGTGAGGGGGTGGGTCAGAGGGGGACACCAAAGACCACCAGGAAACAAAGGATTTTCTGTTGGTCATGGAGTTTCTGTGTATGAGAGGAAGTCCTAGGGAGGAGGGAGCAAGCTTGTTTGTCTGCTGCCCTGGAGACTAGGATGCATTGGAACAATGGCTGTAATTTTGGCCCAATTCTATTGTTGATAAGGTTCAGAATGCTCCTTGATTGTAGATAAACTATAAATCCCAGCAACTACAACTCCCAAATGTTAAAGTCTATTTCCCCCAAACTCCATCTGTGTTCATATTTGGGCATATGGAGTATTTGTGCCAAGTTTGGTCTAGATTCTTCATTGTTTGAGTCCACACTGCTCTCTGGATGTAGGTGAACTACAACCCAAAATTCAAAGTCAATGCCCACCAAACCCTTCCAGTATTTTCTCTTGGTCATAGGAGTCCTGTGTGCCACGTTTGGTTCAATTCCATCATTGGTGGAGTTCAGAATTATCTTTGTTTGTAGGTGAACTATACATCCCAGCAACTACAACTCCCAAATGGCAAAATCAATTTTTTGAGTGATGGTCACTCCTTGGGTTAGTAGGTGTATCGTGTCCAAATTTGGTGTCAATTGGTCCAGTGGTTTTTGAGTTATATTAATCCCACAAACTAATGTTACATTTTTATTTATATTGATTTCTAAAAGATTTTAATTAGCGGTTAGTTTTAGCTGATGATGGAGCCCCCGGTGGTGCAGTGGGTTAAAGCACTGAGCTGCTGAGCTTGTTGATTGAAAGGTCGCAGGTTCGATTCCGGGGAGCGGCGTGAGCTTCCGCTGTCAGCCCTAGCTTCTGCCAACCTAGCAGTTCGAAAACATGCAAATGTGAGTAGATCAATAGGTACCGCTCGGGCGGGAAGGTAACGGCGCTCCATGCAGTCATGCCGGCCACATGACCTTGGAGGTGTCTACGGACAACGCTGGCTCTTCGGCTTAGAAATGGAGATGAGCACCACACCCCAGAGTCAGACATGACTGGACTTAATGTCAGGGGACTACCTTTACCTTTTACCTTTAGCTGATGTGTTGGCCATTCTGGGACTCATTTGGGGAGGAAAGCAGGCTATAAATCCTGGAAGCCAATATGGGGTCACCTTTGATTTAGTTACTCCTTTTTGCAAAGTCATGGATGCACTGTCTTAGACCTGTCTAAGCCTTCTCTTACTATTTACCTACGCAGCGGGGTGGTGGCATCTCAGGCTACTTTCCTGGCCAACCTCTGTGAGGTGGGCAACCGTTTTATGTTGGGCATCCCCAAGGGAGCCCAGGTACGTGCTTCTTCCATGCACATTTCCAAGGAATGAAGCAAGCCTGTTGTTCCTCTTGAGCAGATGTCTTCCTTGACAGGGGGGAAAGAACCCTTCATCAAAAGGCGACTGCCGCTGAGCTGTTTAGAAATCTAATGAAAGTGCTGCGGGTTGAATGAGCAGATCTCAAAACACACACACGCACACAGAATAGGAGAGGAAGAAGGGAAGGGCTGAGGGGTGAAGACCATCAATCTTGCATGGGACAGGGATAGGGCTGTTTATATATTTCAGTCCCATGGAGAGGGGCTTTATTGATAGATTACTTTCTGTGGCGCTCCTTCTTCTTCTTCTCCTTCCCCTTCCTCCTCCTCCTCCTTTTCAGCCTGTGAGCTCGACAGCCCCTTTCAAGTTTGTTTTCAAAACGTTCTCCACATTCTTCCCACCGCTCCGTAATTCATTATTCATCTGAGGCTCATGCAGGGGGTGATGCTGAGAGATTTTGGAAATTCAGAATCTTAATAATGGCCCAATTAAATTGTGTGCTGAACACCTGCCCAGCAGTCGCGAGCGTTACCTTGATTAGAATATGATACGCTGGAAGAGGCTCAGCGGCAAAGTTGCGGGGATGTGCCGGGAAAGGACAAACAGTTGTGAATTAACAGGCTTTTTTCCCCTCTTCTTTTTTGTTTTCTTCTTCCCCACCCCTCTTTTGCTCTCCCCACAGGCCTCCAGATCCTCTGGAGCAAAGATGCAGCTTTTGGAAACTGAGTTTTCTCGCACGGTCCGCGAGTTGATTGACCTCCACCTGCTGCAGCAGGACAGCATCCCCGCGTTCCTAAGCGCCGTCACCCTCGACCTCTTCAGCCGCCAAACCATCACCTAACTGTGACCAGAACTCAAATAGTAGTAACATCTGATGTTTTGTAGAGTCTAAGGCAGGCATGGGCAAACTTGGGCCCTCCAGGTGTTTTGGACTTCAACTCCCACAATTCCTGACAGCCGCTAGGCTGTCAGGAATTGTGGGAGTTGAAGTCCAAAACACCTGGAGGGCCCAAGTTTGCCTGTGCCTGGTCTAAGGAGGATCTCCCAATGGAGGTACACTATTGGTGGCCTTCCAGATGTGGAACAGAAGCTCCCTGCCTTCCTTCCTATTGACTGTGTTGCAATGATGGGAATTGTAGGCTGATAAGAATTTGGAGGGCTGGATCTTGCTCATTTCTGGGGCCCTTTCTCACTGTGCATTCACTATGCTGTGGGTCCACGCCAACTGATTTGGAAACGTCAAATAGAATGGGTTTTCCAAGCTGAATGGCCATGTTCCAGAAACATTCTCTCCTCATGTTTCACCCACATCTATGGCAGAGGTTGAGGATGCCTGCCATAGATGTGGGCGAAATGTCGAGAGAGAGTGCTTCTGGATCTTGCTCATTTCTGGGGCCCTTTCTCACTGTGCATTCACTGTGCTGTGGGTCCACGCCAACTGATTTGGAAACGTCAAATAGAATGGGTTGCTGTAAGTTTTCCAAGCGGAATGGCCATGCTCTAGAAGCATTCTCTCCTGATGGTTCGCCCACATCTATGGCAGAGGTTGAGGACGCCTGCCATAGATGTGGGCAAAACATCAGGAGAGAGTGCTTCTGGATCTTGCTCATTTCTGGGGCCCTTTCACACTATGCATTCACTGTGCTGTGGGTCCACACCAACTGCTTTGGAAACATCCTATGTAATGGGTTGCTATGAGTTTTCCAAGCAGAATTGCCATATTCCAGAAGCATCCTCTCCAAGTGTTTCACCCTCATCTATGGCAAAGGTTGAGAATGCCTGCCATTGATGTGGGCGAAACGTCAAGAGAGAGTGCTTCTGGAACTTGCTCATTTCTGGGGCCCTTTTCCCATGCCAGTTGATTTGGAAATGTCCTATACAATGGGTTGCTATGAGTTTTCCAAGCTGAATGGCCATATTCCAGAAACATTCTGCCCTGACATTTCGTCCACATCTATGGCAGATGTGGGCAAAACATCAGGAGACAGTGCTTCTGGATCTTGCTCATTTCTGGGGCTCTTTCTCACTATGCATTCACTGTGGCTCCACGCCAACTGATTTGGAAACATCCTATACAATGGGTTGCTGTGAATTTTCTGGGCTGAATGACCGTGTTCCAGAAGCATTCTCTCCTGAAGTTTCACCCACATCTATGGAAGGGGTTGAGAGGTCCCCTCAACCTCTGAGGATGCCTGCATAGATGTGGGTGAAACATCAGGAGAGGGTGCTCCTGTAACACAACCATATAGCCTGGAAATCTCACAGCAACTCATTGATTCTGGCCATGAAAGCCTTCAACAAGGCATCCTATGGAATCCTAGAATGCTCAGTTGGAGAGCTGTAGTGTGTCACTGAACTGCAAATTCCAGCATTTTATAGTTTGGAATCAGTGCTACAATAAAGTGGTGCAAAATGGGCCTAGGAGTCGGACATCTCATGACCCTGGCAGAGATCGAAGGGGGACCCAACATGTGAGAAATTCAATGCCTCTCTTCTTGTTGGCATATGTGAGACAAAAACCTGTTAGCTTTTGAGATTAGGTAGAGTAAGGATATAGTATATAGATGTTTCATATGATCACTCAGGCCTTTTTTATATCCAAACCTGTCTGGCCTCTTTTACTTTCCTTCCTTGTTGTTGTTTTCCTGTTTCCTCCTCCCTTGCCATGGACTTCTCAGGTTCGACTTCAGATCCACAGAGGCATTTCTAGCCTGTGTTTCTGTTTGGTGTACTTGCTTCATGGCAGGACTCTGGGATTTTGACATCTACCTGAACATTTTCACCTTTTGTTACTTGTGCACTGTACCTTGTCAAGATTTTTCAAGAAGATTTTACCAATAAAGCGCCATTTGTATACTGGGATTGTGTGTGCATATGTGTGCATGCGTTAACACCTTCATTTCCAGGCTGAAGCTCCAACTCTGCTCCTACTCCAACTGAGTAGTAGCTCTTGCATTGATAAAACATGCTGAATGGGGATCCCAAGGTACCTATTACCATACAAAGAGAAGGATACTTCATTCCTCATCACAAGGTGAGCTTTTCATTTTCCTATTTGGTGTGGCCATGAATCTGACCTGGCCTGTTGTCCTCTCAAGGTCTCTCTTGATCGACCTCGTTGAAATTCAGAAGCAAAGCAAATGTTTGTAGGTTTCCGGGCTGTCTGGCCATGTTCCAGAAGCATTCTAACCTGACATTTCGCCCACATCTATGCCAGGCACTCAGAGATTGAGAGGTCTGTTGGAAACTAGGCAAGTGGGGTTTATATATCTGTGGAATGATGTTCAGGGTGGGAGAAAAAACTCCTGTCTGCTTGAGGCAAATGTGAATGTTGCAATTGTCCAGCTTGATTAGCATTCAATAGCCTTGCAGTCTCAAAGTCTGGCTGCTTCCTGCCTGGGAGAATCCTTTGTTGGGAGGTGTTAATGGCCCTGATTGATTCTTGTCTTGAATTCCTCTGTTTTCAGAGTGTTGTTCTTTATTTACTGCCCTGATTTTAGAGTTTTTAAATACTGGTCACCAGATTTTGTTCATTTTCATATTTTCCTCCTTTCTGTTGAAATTGTCCACCTTGTTGTGGATTTCAATGGCTTCTCTGTGTAGTCTGACATGGCAGTTGTTAGATTGGTTAGCATTTCTGTGTTCTCAAATAATATTCTGTGCCCAGTTTGGGTCATCAGGTGCTCTGCTATGGCTGACTTCTCTGCTTGAATTAGTCTGCAGTGCTTTTCATGTTCCTTGATTCGTGTTTGGGTACTGTTCTTACCATACATCAAGGAAACCACTGGCCACATAGGGAAGCTGATGAAAAAACACAACATACAAACTATCTACAGACGCACTAAGAAAATCCGGCAAATGCTATGTTTAGCAAAGGACAAGAGGGATCCTTTCACCTCTTCAGGAGTCTGTGTGGACAAGTCTTCATAGGGACAACCAAATGCAGAACTGAAGGTCAGCAACAGCTTCTCTCCTATCTGTATTTTTAGCGATGTAATGCCTCCTTTCAGTTTTTAAAAAGGTACCCCAGGTTAGTTTGCAATAGCCACAAAATCAAAACAGTGAAAGGCAAATAATATCTTAAGTTGAAAATATATTCGAAGATGGTTGATTTGCTTCTGCTCTGAGGACTAGGCTAGGACCATGGACTATTCCTGAATTCTGGGGCTAGAAGATATTTGTGCAGTCTTCATGAAGACCTGGATGCTGGAGATGTGACCTTGAACTACAATTTTGGAAAGCTAGAATATGGATTTCATTCCTAGGCAAAAGAAGGCTGTGTACCTTGTACCTGTCACGAGCCTTTGCTATGTGTCATTGGCAAGAACCTATGTTCCTCACTGCATGTTCCTTTGTTGCTGTAGAGAAGTTGGACGTTTGAGCATACCAGCCAGGTGGCTCTCCAGGCCTGGTATCATCCCTGAAGTTTGTTGAACACTGGGAACCAAACTCCTGGGACAAAAGGGAAGCCTCCTACCTTCCCCAAAAGGCCTCTTACCTGCCCCAAATTTCTGTACATAATGTTTGCCTAAAGAGCCTGCCATGGAAAGAAGAGGACGAGAAGTTTTGGTAAAGGAAGTCAATATGGAGAAGGAATGAGAGGACCCAGCAACGCCAGTAGGTCTGATCCAAACACCAAGTTACATGAATAGGTTGATGAGCGTCATCATCAAATCCTATTCCTATTTTGTGGTGAAATGAAAATCACACAAGATTCATGTCTTTACCAATCCACACACTGTCTTTCTGGAGAAAAGATATGCCACGCAGATGATCAGTAAAGAATAAGGTATTTACTTTTTGTTATGCAGAGCAACATATATACAGTCATATGAACAGTTGCATTGACTCACACAATGTCTATTGAGAGAGGTCCAAATGGTCCTTGAGTGTCCATGTGAAAGATCTCCTTCCAGCAGTTCAGAAACAGAACATATACTGGACTTTAGTAAAAACTTGGCTAAAGATAATAAAATGAAAATACTGAGAGATATATATATATATATATGAGACTATAAACATTAAGACAGAAAGACCCACCACAAGGAGAAAAAAGAAAGGAAGGTAAAATACGAAGAAGCGAAGACCAACAAATTGGAGAAAACCACTATGAAGAGACAGGGAAGAACCCCCCCCCCCTTTTTTTTTAACCTTCCCCAACCTTCCATTATCTACCCTTCCCTCCCCACACACCTAAAACCCATCCCCCCCTTTTCCCCCAGTTCATTACTCTTCCCCTCTTCCACCCCTTGTTTATTTCTTTTTATTTTACCTTCCCTTTTCTTTAAGACCCTCTCTCATTTCTTCTTCTTCTTCTTCCCCTCTTGTTTTTTTATGTATCAACAGCCTATCAATAAAAATATTTTTAAAAAGAAGCAGAAAATATACTAATTTGTTTTGGCAAGCTCTTGCACAGAAAACCTAAACATGTAACTGTTGCCAAAACTCCCAGGCTCAGCTAGCACCCCGGGAGTAGCCCAACCAATCAGCTTCGTGCTTTGCATTTTTTGGTTAACACACTCACCAACTGATTTTTACATACTCTAACACCCTCTCCCTAACAGACTAACTCGTAGCATGGGTACCCACAAATGGATAGGGCTCCAAATTGCACTGTGGAGAAGCAGAAATTGAAAAGGTTCAAGTCTCCATGTGTGGGCTCATGGTGGTGGACCTTGAATTCTTCCCTCCATAGTGCCACTCCAGACATGTGAATCAAGCTTAGGAAACAGAAAAAACAGATGCTAAGAACTCAATCTGGGCTACTATTGTTGACGGGTGCTATGCCACGGCTGAGCTGCTAAACTTGTTGACTGAAAGGTTACAAGTTCAGATCTGAGGAGCAGCGTGAGCTCCTGCTGACAGCCCTAGCTTCTGGCAATTTAGCAGTTCAAAAATATGCTAATGTGAGTAGAGCAATAGGTACTTCACTTCACTTCACTTTATTTCT